ATTGTGAATATTGACAAAAATACCGCCAAGGCCTAAAGCAGTGTATTTCCGATTCGTTTTGTATTTGATAGTCTTAAATACGTGGTTTAGTGTTCATTGTTGTTTGAATACACCACAGCGCTCAACCTCTACGACCTTTCTATTCGCAACATCACTGAGACCTTTACCCGTAATCACCAGCAACAAAACAGTGCTAATCACATGTCTGATCTGTAATAATGCACTTGCATTACCGATAAACTACAGGTAGATGAAGATGACATGCACAGTATGTGTGAAAATTTTGGTTATTAAATTATTTTAGGAAATTTTTCAAATCTTTTATAACTCCTTCTACTCAATTAAGAATCAGTGCATCGCGAGTTGAGACAACAGGAAGGACCTCAAGATATTCTTAAATAAATTCTCTGCCTGTTATCTCTTTCAAAACCTCATTTACCAATATGTTGTTTTAAAGCGAGAGACCTCATTATAACCTCAGACTACTATATTAGTCTGTAATTTAAACTACCAGGTAGTTATGTTTATATAGGAGTCACGTGACAAGCTAGTATCCGGACAGAGTGACTAAACTAGCGATTTATTGAAACCACTGCAGTATTTCCGGCTGAAATTTACGGGATACAGTGTTACTGAGCTCGTGTAAATTTGTATCGACTGTTTTATGGACATATTTTTTAAACGTTTACGGAAAATTGTTTTACAACCCAGTAATTCACTACTAGTTACCACTTATTGTGACAAAGCATTGTATTTAAAAACCCGGTTACATCCACCTCTCATTGTCTTGAAATTTGATATATATTGCACGTACGTGGTAGATTTGACAGGGGTCAAAATGAAAGTTCGTTCTTAAAAGTTAATTTCATGAAAATTGAGAAAAATGTGTCAGTGACAGTTATCATTCATTGTTATGTAAATATACCAATCTATGTACATGTATAATCTTTTATCAAACACAACGGTTCCCCATTATCCACTGACTATTTACAAATAACCTAAAAGTTCAAGTGCTTCTGATATGACACAAACAATCAAATATGCAATTCGTCTGAGCCTCTTAAACACCCATTTCAGTAACATCCTGACGACATTCAGAGTGAAGTGATTCATCTAAGTTTTAAAGAAACATTAGTATGTGTTAAAAACAGATATTTCCCCCCTTCTTGTTATCTTAATTGAGCCCAGTGTTTCATTGCTGGACGGGGAAGTATAAATAATGGGCCACACATGCAATGTACGAGGCATGTGCAAACGTAGTACATGCTTGCCTGAATGTGTACGAAAAATTCGGCGTTGAACAACATTTGTTTAATATGTTCAGTTTCCTACCTTGTGATCAGAAGTAATGATCGCGTGGAAATATGTATGGCAGTTTTCTGACCTAAAATAAATACATTTATTGCTTTTCTCAAGTGGCAATATGACAAACTGCAGCGTTGTGTCACTTACATTTGAGATTTGGTAAGACTTATACAAGGTCGTTTTCGTTTCACTTGCCTGGACTTGGCAGTGTTCATTGTATGAACATGAACAGAAATATGAATATTTTTAATCATTTAATTTTAATTTTCATATGGTAATTTATTACTGCTGATTTAGAACAGTCGATGTGAACAACGCGTTGTATTCAGGGAAACTTAGGTACAAACTTAACGGGCATTGCCCTCAATGAACCCAACCGTAAACATGGCATATATACATGTATCTAATCTTGAGAATATTCTAACTTGATATAGACTTTCCATGTTAGAATTGTTGCTAAGTATGTTGTATGGCGCACGATCAGTGTGTACTATTAAGTTATGTGTTTTAATGAGTAATTTGTTGTTCATTTGTTGGCATATGCCTCTTATTGCAACGTATTTCGTGGAGCTCTACTATATCCATACTGCATTAGTCATACCTTCATCCGGGAATTCCATGTATAGACAACCAGTATTCGGGCTCCAAATGAGCTGAATTAAATATTGTGCTACTGAGCATGTTACGGCACATATATGCAATGCATTATGGGAGAGAACCTCTCATTGTATATAATGGAAAATTATAACGCAGATGACATACACTCCTCAATTCCTTTTGAACCTATTTTACGCATTCCAACACGTAAAAGACGACACAAGAATTTACAAAATGTCACTTGAACACAATCCAAATGACACCAAAATTCTAAATTCTTGATCACAAGCCAGACAACACTACAATTCTATTTCAATTGAACATAAGCGAACTGGATAAGGTTTTAGCTCCGCTGACATCGAAGATAAAAAAGCTAAGCTGTTCATATAGGCGATTGTCCGCCGCCGTCCATCCGTCCGTCCGTCCGTCCGTCAACAATTCTATGGCTGAATTCTTCTTGAAAACTACCAGGTTAATTACGAATTAACATATCTTTAAATGTTTCTCCTCATCAAATGTGCAATACTTTAATATAATAAATTAATTTGTTTTGCATGGGCTGACAGCAAGAAAAAAAATTAAAATGCCGGGTTTCGAACCCAGGGTTTCAACATTCCCGTGATCGAAGATAAAATGAAGTCATTGAAACAATTATAATAATTGTAAGTGCCATAGCAACAACCATAAACACTACTATGGTTGTGATATGACATATCATTGTAGTAACAATATGGCATAACCATGGCTAATGGCTAATTTATCATTGCAGTTTCAGCCGATGTTGAATCATCCAGTGTACTGTATATGTTTGATTCGTGCATATTAATCTGCGATCAGTCTAAGAAGTCATAACAATTTGGTCGATTGAAGCACTCCTGAGAAACAAATGCCCCCACTTGTTGGGGGAAAATCTAAGGTGGCGGAAAAAATATCGCTGATGACAATCATTTTGTTTTTCTCCTAAGACATGGTTGAAAATGTCCCGCGACCGTTAACGTATTTATTCAGGAAATGTGCAGTCCATATACCAATATTGCTACTAAGAAAACATTTAGTCTGTCTAGTCCTTCAGTAAGGATTCAAAATGGTCACTTCCGGTTTAACTTAAATCAAAGATGGCTCCAAACCAGACGACCAACTAAAATTCTGAAATTTAGAGTGAACCAGTTCTCATATCTCATAGTCACCAATGTTTTTGAGAAGTTTCAGAAGTATATGTGCAACAGTGTTCAAGTTCTAGGGCGACAAAAAACGGCGGTAAATGAAAAAACTTTTAAATATTCAAATTTTTAAAAATCGATGAAGATCTCTTAATTTAAATTGATTGATAATATATTATCTCATTCGTCTAGTGATTGCAATGGTGTGTGTGTGAAATGCTCTTCTCAGATGACTGTATTTTCCTGTAGCTTCTTTGCCTTGGCGCAGTCCCATTCGTTGTATAAAAGTGACGTAATTTTGATATTAACGCATTGTCATTAAGTTTTTATTGCGTCCGCCCTTGTGGAATATTCTAGCACGTCTGTGAGAGTAGAAATTCCAATCTTAGAACAGTCGTCTTTTTAAAGCTATGCTAAACATCACACAGCAATAATTTTCGCATATTAACTTTCGTATGGACCGTATCGATCCGGTGTCGGATATAGTACAATTCTGTGTTTTATCTACAATAGTTGGTCGGATGACAATGTACATGTAACTATATCACTGAGTACACTGCTAATATCTTTTATGGATTTTACTGAAATTCTTCACAGATATATTGAATGTCCGAACTACTTGGCGTGCTTGACGTTATTATCGTTGTTCCGTGTTTCAATTATTACAGTGTGACCAATGTTGGAGTACTGTAAAGCCGTGTCGATTTAATCCCCACAAAAGGTATACTGGTGACTCTATTTTCGTCTCCACTGACTAATCTCAACTTTTGCTGGCATGTTGTAATCGGGCTGTGCATGCTATTGCGCATTAGGTTGATGTTTAGTATGACGTCTTCCCTCAATATGAATTCACTGCAAAGCGACATAATCCCTGTTGTCCTAGTGTCGCTTATATTGGCTTCGGCGAAACACAATACTTCTGTCTTCTGTCTAACTTCACAGGAGAGAACTGAAGTTGCCATTTATGTTCGGGTGTTCACGCCCTGGTAAATACTGAGTATCAGGTCAGCCCGCGGCTTTGTTTGGTCAGTACATTGTTGTTCTATGAGACAAGAGAATGATGATAATAATACAACTACTATTGTGTTTGTCTTTACAAACAATAAGCTGTAGCTTTAAATGCATCTTCTATCTATGTTTGTTTCGTTTATACCACTAGTGCGTCATGCTCATCATCTGCGGAATAACTGTCTGCGCTTTGTGACGGGAATAAACTGGTCGATTCTACTCACTAATATGTTTAAAGACAAACATATCTGATTATGTCTGCAATTTAAAATACAACGCTATTCGAGTAACACATATAGAGATGTTGTATCTATCGAGTGTGGCTAAAATGATTCTTTTTAAAATTAAATTGCTTCGTATTATGCATGTCTGAGGACAATTATCGTTTACAATTCCATATTTGTCCAACGTTCTAAGGATAACTGAAATATACGTAATTGTATTACTTTTCCTAATTCAATAAAATCTATTAGGTTTGACAATAGACATGGTAACTATGTCATGGTAGTGTAATTCACAACACAGTGAACGATCCCTTCAACCAATGATTGTGCTGTTCGCTTCAATTGCTCCTTTTTAATCATTATATAATGTTGCTATGCCTTAGTAACTAGGGTATTTCTCTGAGTATAACGAAATATGTTCAGGAACATGTGTATGCAATTGTGTCAAATAAAGCAATTGTATGCATAAGTTATGTTATTGGAAGTGCAAATGTTCATCTTAACTTCAAGTTGCCTTTATCTTGAAAATAATTAAATGTTGCTATAGGTAACGGTTATGGTGTACTCGAGTAATACTAGAATTGCAAACACCTCCAGTCACCCTTTATTCCCTTAATGAGATGTCCGATAACTCACTCACTCTATCAAAGGAACTTTCATTCATTTCGACCAGTCTCAATCAAAACCTTTGTACACTGATTGAGCCTTTTCTCCATCTGTCATGTTCAAAACAATTCCCACCTATCCTGTAACAATAAAAAATAGTAATTACCTACTGAAAAGCAAATCAAATCAAGTCGATTATTACGCTTAAAACATTACGCGAGGTTTCCAGACATTCACTGTGTATCCAATCATCGCTGGGATATTCTCTGAGGTATTCGGCTATCTGTGATCTATATATTTTGATCACGACACTGAAATGTAATGATGCAATCTATGTAAC